AAGATGAGAAAATGTATTCCTTTTTCTGCCTCCCTACAAAGGAATGCAATAGCTAATGCATAAAAGTAAAGTATTATCGATTAAATATCCGTTGTAAACTTAATTTTGATTGGAATGTAAATAATGGAAAGCTCGCCTGTCAGTGTGGATGTATCATCAACTTCTCATCCAAAAGTTTATTCATCCAGACAATCCTTCAATATGCAATCAACTTGATTCTAGGTGATAATGCATGGGATCAACTACAGAGGTAAGTTCGATATCAATCTCCAAAGATTTTTATGTATTGAGTTTTTGTCCTTGACATTTCTCTTCTATTTTTAATTCACATCTCCAACTTTTGATGGAAAAATTATCAGCTCCATTTGCTAAAACCTATGTAAACTCAACTTTTTTTTGAAAACCAATGTGGATTAATTGAGTTTTTTCTCCTCTCCTTTCTCTTTTATTTTTAACTCACATCTCCTTTTTTTTATTGTCAGTAAACATATCCAGTTGCCCAAAACAAATGAAAAGTCAATTTTTATTCAAAATTAACGTTGATTGTATTGGATTTTTTTGGATTTTTTATCCTCCTTTATCTTCTATTTTTAAAAAAATTTTTCTTTTTCATTCATCAAGCAAGTTGCAACATGAAATGCTAATTTCTTCAATTTTGGTAAATACGAACCAATTACATGCTGCTGACAACATCCAAGTTTATGCGGCAATTTTAATTGTATCATAAGATAACACGCTTTAAATATTGAATAAAATGAAAATAATAAAATAATTAAATAAATAAACTACAATACAATTAAAAGATGAGAATTCTAACGCTTTCAAATTCTGATGGCAGATGTTTCAGAAACAATTTCAAGAAGCTTAGTTTTGGTGTGGTGTCAGAAGGAAACAGTATACTGTGGTTGTGGTGAGAAGGAAAAAACGCAATTTGTAGGAGAGTGGGTGTGAGTTGAAGGAGACGTGGGAAGTTTCAGAAGCTTAGTTGGTTATTCCATGAAAATGTGGAACGTGGGAAATATCTTGTGTATTATCATTATCTATCTATGTAACTGTTATTGTTAAAATACAATATGTTACTGTTCATTAAAGTTTTTAATTGTTGGTTGTAGATTGGTTATTTTTGTAGAATGGTTATTTAAAAAATGGGATTGTGTTAAACGTTGTTTAAAAACCTTTTGTTATTTAAAAACCTTATTGTTGGTTGTAAGATGGTGTTATTTTTTATAGGTGGTTATTTAATAGTGGGATTGTCACAATAAACGTTGTTACAATTAAAAAATGTTACTGTTCATTATATATTTTTTGTTGTTCTCCTTTAGTAATAAAGAAGTAGATGTATAATAAAAGCGTGCATGAGATCCATGTAGATCGTTCACGAGACACCGGTCCATGAGTACAAGATTAGGGGCCTGCTGCGTCAAATAATTGAAGCCCATCTTAAAATGGGCCAGCTTCGTCCCTTTCTGTTTATTATCCAAAATTCTGTAATTAATTAATTAATCGATTAATAACTCGAGAGCTGTGAACGAAGTTGCCAACTTCGGTCGGCTACGGTCGTCATCCCCAAATTCATTGAACCCCGAAATCATCATTTTCTCTGCGATCGCTAGAGGATCTCAGGTAATTTCTCTCTCTCTTCTAACCCTAGCCCTAATTCTAACGCTAAATCGACCTCATTCCTTAATGATTGAATCCCTATTCCAGTTGAGCGAGCTTCGAAACCCTAAAAACTTAACCCCAATGCGTTCAGTCCCTCACTTAAATTCCTCTCGCAGCTCGAATTTGATCGCAGAGATAAACTTAACCTTGTAATTTACAGTTATTTGTTGTTTGTGTTGTTATGAATTGATGTATTGCGCTCTTGATGTCTTATGGAGGCAGTGATTAGTGAGGAGTATTGAAGTTGGCCACATGGGAAGCTATGACTGATTGCATTTCGACATTCTCCATTCAGAATGCCTGGCTTGCCTTTGCTTGCTCATGAAACCACGTATGAATTGTTGTTTGATGTATCTTCTTGAGTTTCGCATCGATGGAGAATTTTTTTTTTCTTTGTGGGGTTAGCTATCGATGAATACCTCCAATTCTCACTGAACTTAATGGTTTATATATGTGTTCCCATTTGGCTGCCTGTTAGAGTTGCAGAAGAATACTCATGGGTGATGGTTTGTGACGTATAGTAGCACAATGCATTAAGTGATTTTTATTCTAGAATTGCATTTTATTCTAGAATTGCTTTTATGTTCTCCTTTTACATTGTTTAAAAAAGCAGTTAGGGTGATTGCCTAGGCGTAACCGGTACCTAGGCCGCCCGCTTAATTTCTGAGAGTGCCTAGGTGAAGATGGGCCACTCACATGGACTCACTGCATTATAAAGGATTTTTTTTTTGCTGGGTTAGGCATTAAGACGAGTGAAGATAACAGGTCAGGTTAAAATGGATCAGATCAGAACTTGATTCGAGTTCATCTCTGATAAAACATTGAGTGCCTAGTGCTTTCTAAGAACATTGCCTTTCTAGTATTCTTCTGAGATGCATATATCTATTACCATACTCTAAAACAACTGAACTAATTGCAAGAATGACAAGTGAGAACTGATTTATTCTTTATTGTTACTTGTTATTTTCTTGAAATGATATCTATCTTATCTTCTATTAAACGTGTGTTTTGAGCTTTCCCGTGCTATGCATCATCTTCTCTATATCAGTCCCATCAAAATTCATGAAACGCCCCATTAATATGTCATTCTCCCTTGAATTCCCATGCATCGCACTGGTAACAGATTAGCTAAGTCTATAGGACGTAACTTGGAGAGGGGAAATAATAATAATAAAGAAACGAAATTGTGGGTTTGGTAGTTTACTGTTATTACATTTTAATTAGGGTGTTAGCTTGTGAAATGGGTGAGGATTGGAGGTATTTATCTGCAGTTGAGCCGCTTTTGTGAGGCTATTCATCTTGTGCTATTGTTATAATGTCGTGATGCAGTTCAATCACTTTTTTTTTTGAACCATGGCTTTTTACCCCTATCAGAATGATACTCAGTTTTCATATTTTACTTGTGTTTAAGGTGCAGGATTATTGGTTGCAGCTGCAGCCAGTCTAGAACTACAGATCAGATGTGTCGACAGCAATCTCGGAGTCAATTGACTGCCGAAGAGGCCCTAGCAGCTGAAGAAAGTCTTACTGTCTATTGCAAACCAGTTGAACTTTACAATATTCTTCAACGACGAGCAATACGGAATGTAATGGTTCTTTACTCTTATACTTGTGTGTTTTCTAGTACACGGCCTTCACATTTTCTATCTTAATTTCCTATTCAAGGTTTTATTTGCTCCATCACCTTCTTGAACGACATATATGTATTAATATTGTGTGTCTTCTACTGCAGCCATCATTTCTGCAGAGATGTTTGCATTACAAGATACAAGAGAAACATAAAAGAAGGTTCTGCTTTTATATTTCAATTAATATTTGGAGTAAATGAGTCTCTTTCACCTATTTCTTCTTTTTCCCAATTGCATTACTTGATGAATGTGCATGTGCTTGAAAGAGTTTTTGTTCTTCCTTCTTGTAATCTTAAATAATTTTTTCTTCTATTTCCAGTGTATAAATTGTAAAGCAGTCACCATTTCTCCAAGTTCAACCATTTGTTTCATTTTAGTCTCTGTTAATTCTATTCATTAATGTAGTGGAACGTCTGGTTCGTAGTTTTGTATTTGTTTGTAAAGCTTTTATGTATACGGGTACAATAATAGTTAACTTAACGAGGATATAGGCCGTAACCGAACTGAATGGAAGAACAATATTCATGTAGCTGACCCTAAAATTTTGTGCTATGTTGTTGCTGTTGTGCTAATCTTTTATACAATTCATCAGATTACCCCTTTCATTCAATACTAAACTCCCAGTTTATTCGCAAGTCACGATACTATATGGATGAGTAGAAACTTTAAACCACATATTATTCTCTAAATATGCTTTATGATGTGCTGATCAATGTGAACTACCTGAATCATCCAAGACAGCGATCAAACGTGTATTTTGTTAGGTGTAAGCAAACTTGAAATCTGTTATGGGGGGTCTTTATTGTCATCTTAATGCATAGTCTATAAGGTGGCAACTCATCTTGTTAAATGAGCTACCTAGAGATGGACTAGTGCTGAGGCTTGTCTTACTAGTCCACTCAAATTTGTGGCAGCTCATACCCTACACACACACACACACACACACGCACGCACGCACGCGCGCGCGCACACATATTATAATTTAGATGTATGTATGTGTGTACAATAAGGTGAGAGAAAACTGCTTGTTACCTAATTCCTAAAATCTCACTTTGGACCGTCTTTGTGGATGATCCACACAAGTCGTTGTGGTCTTCATGCCCTAAATAACTTGTATATTAAAAATCATGCAATTTTTTAGTTCTGATTATTGCATCAAATTATTGCAAAATGAATGTTTTTTAAATAATAGATTAAATAAGAATATTGGCTACATCTTGGTTGCACGAGTAGAACTGCCAGTCACTTAGCCTCCATGGTATTGCGGAAAGCAGTCCTTTTATTTATTAGTTTTGTCAGCTAGAAAAATGACACTTCATTTGGGGTTGACGTGAGCCAAGGTTTATAACTTGCCATATATTTTGCTCAATCATTAGAGTAAAGAACTCTTGTGATGACAAGATAATAGATGACCTTTGAGCTCTTATTATATATATAATAATATATATATATATATATATATATATATATATATATATATATATGTTCCTTTCGTCGCAGAGTGTATGCTTCTTTGGAGGATCCTGATAATTACTAAATCATGGTTCTTTTTTTATTTTAAATGCAGAATTCATATGACCATATCTCTTTCTGGGGAGATGAATGCAGACATCGAGATGCAAAATATGTTTCCTCTCTATGTGATATTAGCTAGACCTCTGATTGATATCTCAGTTAAGGAGGTACGACTAAAATCTGATCTCCTGGAGTAAATTGTCTTTATTATACGATAATTCATTGTCCCATTTTGTTTGGTGTTTGACAGCAGTCCGCAGTTTATCGAGTCAATCAAGCATTTATGTTGACTAGTTTCAGTGAACTCGGGAGGAAAGACCGAGCTGAAGCTAGTTTTACCATTCCAGAGATGAATAAGTTGTCAGCTAATGGACAAGTTGGGCATCTCACTATAATCCTTGTGGGAAATGGTAGTGTCTGATGCCCTCATGTTTCTACTGATTCCAACCTAAATCTAAATGTTACATAGCTATAACTTAACTTACACCATTTCTAAATTGCTGAATGATTGAATTGACTTCCTTGTAGGGGAAGCAAGAGGTTCTTGTGAAACTTGTCCATCAGGGGAGCATGATGGACTTGCCTCATTTCCATGTAAGATCATACTCATTGCTATTTCAAAATATGCACAGAACTTGATTGATGGATATATTTCAGGCATTAGTAGTTACTGCCACTGGTTGCTTAATAACAATTTGCAGCATTTATATCTCTTCTGTAAAGCAGTTTGTATCTGAAGTTATTGATCTAAAAGCCTAATTTGACCAGTAATAATCTGCGCAAGTTTTCGTTGGCACTCTCAGATGATCTTGTTTATTTGTTCTATCCTTTTCTTGCCTAATTATTAAGAGATGATACAATGCAGAATGTAAAGGAACAAAAACTGAATAGTGAAGTAGGATTTAATAGGCAAAGGAATGCGAAGGATGTTGTTTGCTTGGAGTAAACCCACAATTTACATAAATACTTTTAGCAATATGCTGGTTTCTGTTTGTCAATTTTCTTGGACTTGTATGGGGCGTTGTTTCCCTCTCTCCCTCTCTCTCTTTTAATAAGTTTTTCTATATGTTTTTTTTCTGTGTATTACCTATCCCGTGTTTCTTGATCTAATTGCAACATCTTGTTGACTTTATTTTCTGTTTTGTTCCTTCCTAATTCTTTTCTTTCACTTGCTTGTTTTCACATATGATTTTTTGCTATGGAAAAAACATACTGGGGTTGGATAAATGTTTCCTGTTGTCTAAGATGAGTGGTTTTGTACATCTATGGAAGGAGTGTGAAAGTTTACCTGGCTTCTGATATTTAAGAATAAGAAAGTTTACCTGACTTTTATGTTTTACCTCTTTTACAGCAAAACTTGTAGGTGATTGTTTTTGGGGCAGGATACCAATTGAATCACTCCGCTCATCACTGGAAAAATGTGTTACTTGGAACTTGGATCGTAGAGTTGAGATGATTACAACAAGTGATATGTACCCAACTATCTTAAAGGTATTTTAAGTAGAACACAATGTTCCCATTGACCTATGGATGCAATTTTTATCGCAAAAATTACTAAGGTTCTTTTATGCTGTAAGTTGACCTGACCATAGAGAAATAGCTGGTAGGTTTTACTGTATGCATCTTCATTGTCTCTTGGAACTTTGCTTTTTATTTTTTCCCGCCCCCTGGAGAGTTCATGCGCACAGATCCTTTAGTGTAAAATGTCAAGGTGTGCTGATATCTGTATTACCCGTTTGCCATTTTTGGCAGACCAGTATTTTGGACAACAACAACTGCTTGGCTTTTGGAAGTCATAACGTGGATTCCAAAGTAAGTTCATTTCGCTATTATTTTTCAATAGTTATTACGTCTAGTTACTTTTGTAAATTTGTAACTTACTCCTGTGAAGAGTTCATTCCAAGTGCAAGTGACTGTCTGTGCACAAGAAGTGGGAGCAAGAGAGAAGTCCCCTTATGATTCTTATTCATATGATAATGTCCCTGCATCATCACTGCCACATATTATCCGGTAAACAGAATTTTGTGGATTTGTTCTCATAGTATTGTGTATAATATTGCTTAAGAAGAATCATGTTCGCATATTTCTATTTCATTAACTGAAAATGTCTGATGTAATATTCCATGCTCCTATTTTGTATCCAATTATTTTTATTTATGTTTTAGATGATATATGATAAGTTTGGTTTCAGAGGCATAGTGATTTTCCTCTTATTTTGAAAGACAAGGCAATCAAGCTTACAAAATTCAGACATTGCTAGCTTACAAAATTCAGGCATTGCTTTACCTCATTTGCTCAGCTTAAGTCTTAATTTCTTGGGAAAGATGTCCATCCCTCTTCCAATTTTCTTTATTTCTACTTTCCTGCTATTTTGGTGAGGACTCTTCTGATTTGATAAGTTTATGATTATACATGTACACACTTCCATACACAGGCGTGCAAAGAGAAAAGGACATCAACTGCTTATGGTAGTCGAAAACCCTTACTCTCAATCTTCACTTCTTGATCCACACCATGATCTACATGCCTGAAAATATACGAGAGGTGAACTAATAAGCAAGCAATACAGACAATAGAAAAGATTAAGGTTGTATTTGGCATGCAGGAACCTGAATCAGATTTGGGATTCGCTTGTAGATTCGTAAGATTAAAGAACAACTCAAAAATATCGATTAATATTGTATTCTTGTCAGCATGAAGTTATCTAGTTTCATGGGAATGACATTTCTTCCATGAAAGGTGGTTATGCTTTGTCCCAATGTTGTAACCCTATAGGAGATCTTATAATTTCAATAACATATTTATCTTCCTCATTTTCCCCCTTGTCCTCTGATGCTGCTGTTTTCTCATCTACTGTTGTTGCCACTCCCATCCCAATGGTCTCCACCAGCAATTTGTGATTCTCAGCAGCGATTTGCTGCTTTGTTGTCATTGCCATGCGGATGCGTCACACCATTGTTCCTAGAGGTTATTCTTTTATATTTTCTACCATGGTTAATATTATATCAGAATGAAATGTATTTGTCCAGTGTCATTCAGACAAAGTTCTACATGACATGCCACTCTTCCAAGTTGTGTTAGCATGCTTGCTTTTTTCTGACTTTCTATAATCTTCATAACCTTTTCTAAGGGTTTTTGGAGAATGAATTCTTTTACTCTGTATTTGCTCTTGTTATCTGTAGCATATTGAACTTAGGTAGAAGATTTTGGTTGTTGAATGTCTTCTTTCTTGCTGAATAAGCTTATTTCTTAATTTAGATTGAGAACTGGTAATGTGCTCTTCAATTATAAATACTACAACAACACTCTGCAGAAGACCGAAGGTATCAACTCTTTTCTCCCCTGATATTTCAGTTTTCTTTGTCTTTTGTAGTAATTCATTTCAGCAGTTCCTTTCTCTTCAAGGGTTCATAAAGTATAAATTTTATGAATCATAAAGTTGGAGGGGAAAAAAATCTTTAACATGTATTGGTCATTCGGCGTAGTACATATTGGGTATCATACCAAAAGTTGGCTGTGTCACAGATTTTTAGACCTGCCTGAAGATGATATTTTTGTTTCAAAATAAAGCTTTTTCACTGCATATTAACAGCTTTTGTTACTTGGTAAGGGGCTAAGAGAAGGGTTAAGGGGGGTTAACCCCTCCTTAACTCTCCAAACAGGTTAATTTGGTCAAAGAGCTAACAAACACTTTACGAGGGTTAAAGTTAGCTAACCATTTATTTAGAGGGGTTAACAAATCCTCTTAGAGAGGCAGGTTAACAGTTATTCCCTCCGAAGGAAAGAAACTTTGATAAAAAAAATATTGTAGTAACTAATTTAGGATATTTATGGCAACTAAACTCTTCAACCCTTCTCTATTTGCTAAACACAAAAAACTTAACTATTCATCTTAACTATCAAATCCAAACGGAATTAAATTATTTTTTTACCTGTCGTGAAGGGTTAACTAAGTTAATCATTTTCCTTAACCCTTCTCTCTTAACCCCTTGTCAAATAGCACCTTAGCGTGGATTAGACATGGTATGGTTATCAAAATGATTTAGTCTCTCGACTCTTCAATATATTCTGCAATTTGACATGTTAAGTACTCAAAGTCATTACGGACAAGTGAAGAACATAAAAGAGCTGGCTGTTTCTGAAGTCTAAAGATGTATTCAAATGTATGCTTCACATTTAGCCTTATGAACAGGACAGGACAAAGAAAATAATTTAAAATATTTGGCGCGTGTATATGAATTTACAAGTGGAGTTGGATTTGTGTGAATGGGTATTGCTAGTCTTTGGGCCCTTATCCATATCAGCATGCTATTTTCTGCTCATTGTGATATTATGAAATGCAAGAATAGGGGAAGTTTCCATCTTGAAAGGAAGGAATCAATGACCTTGGTTCTATCTTGGTGAATATCTTCAAAATTATGCATTTTTCACTTCAAGTACTTTATGAATACGTTCTTATAATATTTGAGGCTTCATTTTAAGAAAGTTCGACAATGGTTTAGGTGCCAAGGAGGATATCCTGCACCAAGAGCTTCCTAGATGGTAGACTTACTGAAGCACCCTGAAGGCTAGAGTAATTAAGCGCCCACATCCACATCATTATCTGTACACTATGTTCTATTTATGGTCTTGTAAACTCGTCTTCCTGGTGTTACAAATTTGTCTGCGTGCAACACAGATTTTAATAACTTCAGTAATTTTGAATATGCAAGCATATGCCTATGCATCATGATGAAGAAACAGGAGTTAAATATATGCTTTTGTAAAGTTTATTTATGATAGTTACTCAGCAAATGCTCTGACTGGTCTAAAGCTGATTAATGAAAAGTCTTGATGCAGAAGTTTCCTTGCTTTTAATCTAGAAGTGGATGTCTCTCGTAGTGGCTTGAGTGTAATTTCTAAAGAAGCACTTTCTAGTCAGTATGCCTCTTTAATTTGTATAAACTTTGAATTCACCTGTTTTGATCAGAACTTTTCTTTTTATGCTAAGGACTTCTCACTATGAATTAACTGCCAGATTCTAGAAACAGGATGTTCACATATTTTTCTAATATCTTGTTATGTTTGTCTCTGCTGCTTAACTTAGTAGATGCACGCCATTTTCAAGGGTACATCAACTTTTGTATAACATATTTTCTTCTCTATCTCTCTGTTTTCCTTAGTTTCTATCTCTTGTTATAGTTTGTGGATTCTAGTTCTCATCTTCCTTATCCTCAATAAACAGTTACAGAAGATTTCTCCTGTCCATTTTGCTTGGTGCAATGTGCAAGCTTTAAGGTAGTGCAAATAATTTTGAATTTTTTTACTAGGTATCACAGCATTTCAGTTTCCCCTCCATCCAATTCTTTGATTTATATTCTATAAGTGCCACTTCTGATATTCTGTGTTTGATATGTGTAGGGTTTACGATATCATTTATGCTCATGTCATGACTTATTCAATTTTGAGTTCTGGGTCAGTAAACTTCAAGGATCTGCACTCATATTTTTAGGCTTCTGCAGATTGTTGTTATAAATAAACTATGCTCTTGATTTTTGCAGGTATCTGAGGAGTACCAAGCTGTGAATGTTTCTGTCAGAACTGATGTGTGGAGAACTGAGGTTAAAGTTCTCTCTGCATAATTTTTTCATTATTTTAGGCATATTAATATATTTGTTTGTGAACTCCTTTTTGAACTGCTGTTTGCACCCCCCNACCCCCCCCCCCCCTTCCCGGCGCCTAATTTAGGTTTGATGACTGCAAGAAAAATGCAAAATAGTTGGCATTTTCCAGGGGTCGAGAAATGTTCCGTTTTAGTGGTGGATTCCTGTTTCTCGTTGATGGATTATGTTCTAGATCCTCAGCAAATTATTGGCTACTCCATAATTCTAATAGTGGTCTAGTTAACATTAACCTCTTCTAGAAGACATTGACTTGAAAAGACAGTTTTAATTATCTAGAACATTTTCCTTTTCTGAATTTCTTTGTTAACTAAGATAGATACTGTCTCTCCCTAAAAATTGTTTGTAATTTCGTTTTGATATTGAGCAAGGTCTAATGGTCCTCCTCCTCCCAACCGAATTAGATTCAATAAAACATCTTGCAACCTTATATACTTACATATCTTATATTAGTTTAGTGATGTCCCAATTAGACCTTAGTAGATAAGACAAGGATTGTTTTCAAGAATAATATAATAATAATAACAATATAATAATAAAGACAAACAAGTGCCAGTGCCACGTGTTCGTGTAACCAGTGGCAGCTGTTTTAAGCATATAATAGATGGATTGTTAAAAATATACTGAATGAGTTCGTATTTCTTTTAAACATGGTATCACATCATGCAAAATTTTTTAACTTGAAATATATGTGCAAATTGAACATGTATTTATTTGGATATCTCAGACAGTTTTGCAGCTACTATATTTTTAGATGTATATTGGATATAAGATGCCCAGATTCAGAAAAAGAATTATGAACCGGGTTCAATACAGAATATCCCTGACAGTTTAAATCCGTACTTAGGATCATTAGCTTGTTCCATAGATAATGGTGATCAGCTCTCAGCCATACAATCTCTCTGGTTGGTGCATTCTGCCTGTGCACCTAAACAGAGTTATGCATGTTTGTCTTTTTCCACAACATTTAGTTTTATGTCACTAGCACATATCTTACACTCATTTCTTTTGTGGAATTTAAATTTCGCAAGTTAACTATGATCTGCATGTCTTTATGAAGTTCTAGACGTTAGTATGTGTTGAACGACACGTCTTTTTTGTCCCACTTGCTTTACTAAAATCCTATGATATCTCAGGTTGTTCCCGATGGATTTGATCCAAGATTGCAAACATTCTTTTACCGGTAATTGTGTTGGATTTCTTTTTAACTTTCTTATTCAGTATGTAAAGCAAACCATTGACTTTTTTTTCCATTTAGCAGCTCAAAGTTTAGGAGGCCTAGAAGATCAAAAAATGTTGTACAAAATGTAAATCATGTTCACCCCCATGTTCTAGAAGTAGATTCACCGGAAGCTACACAACACTCGGCAGATTATCTGCAGGATGCTGCTATATGTTCCTCCCGCAGGCCTGTCAGATATCCTATGAGAACTGAGGTTCCAAATGGATTCAGTGGTTTGTAAATTTTTGACAGCTGTATTGTAATATGTAACTGGGAAAACAAACCTTTCATGAATGTGCTATAACATGATTTAACTTTGTCCATGACAGATGGAAGTACCTATAGAGTAGAGGCAAAAGCCGCAAAAGCATTATTCCATGAAACACAATTATATTCTTCCCGGCATAAATCGGAAAGTTATGGTTCAGATAACCATCGTGTAGCTGACTCTACGGAACCTGTGATGTCCAGTCCTGATATTGCAGGAGCTTGCACTGCTACAACTCATGCTTCTACAAGCAATGAGTATGCTCAGCTGGTATCTGGAAACAATCTCACACCCCCTACTATGTTGCAATTTGCCAAGACCAGGAAATTATCTGTTGAACGGGCTGACCCGAGAAAGTATGCAACCTTATCTCTATTTTTATAGATTTAAGCAAAAGTATTACTTGGCTACATTGAATATATTGTAATCCTTGTCATACAACTGATCTGTTTTCTTAATTAAATTACAATGCAGCCGTCAACTTTTGCAGAAGCGCCAATTCTTTCATTCTCATAGGGCCCAGGTAACGCTTTTAAGTGTTCTCTTCTCTTGGTATTGGTTTTTAACTTTTTATTGTTTCATTACCCTTTGGTGCATGTTTTGTTATGTTTTGCATAGGGTACGTAAATTATATTAACCAGTTACTGATTACTGTTCTTGGTTTCTACGCCGCTTTAAGCACTCTAATGAGGGATATTTGTGTTGAACATGGCTTGTTATTTTAAGAAGTGGTTAATTTATTTTCTTTTGATAGAAATTGAACCTAAAAAATCATTATATAAAAGTCTTATTTGTCTCTATGTAACAAATTAAGAGTTTGACAAATTAGTGCCCATTATTCACTCCTGCTACTGCTTTTATATTTATTCGGAAGTACACTTTTGATCCTCCAGACTCGAAAGGAGCACACAGTACTCCGCATAAAGGATAAAAGGATAGTCAAAGGAGGAAAATGTCTACTGTGTCCTTTCACAGAATGCTTGTTCCACGTTTCATTCATAAACTTTAGTAAGTGTAGTGATGGGCGAACAATGTCTATGATTTTAATGGAAGCAGATTAATATACCTTAGAGGTCCTGTGTTGTGGTCTTTGTTTTTTCATGCTGAGGGATGGTGTTTTCTATTTATATACCAACTGGATTACACATTCAATGGTGTAGCATTTAGTTTTACTTTCAGCTTGAAAGAAGCAGCTTCTGCCTACATTTGCCATTTTAGTTGAGATATGATTTTGGATGTTGTTTCTGAATTGTTTTCTATATAGGTATTGGATTTAATATTTTATCTCTTTGTTTCAGTTTCCATCTGATGTTTGGTTGTTAAATACATATATTGTGAGACAACTCACGAGTGACAACTTTGAATCTTCTGTTGTCTTTGAAGCCAATGGCATTGGAGCAAGTGTTCTCAGACCGTGACAGTGAAGATGAAGTTGATGATGACATTGCAGATTTTGAAGATAGAAGGGTATGATGTCGCATTTGTATTATGTTTTTCACCCAAATAACTCGGTTACAGCTGTGAGGGTTGGATGTTAGGATAGCAAATTTTCACCTATAATCCACCGGCCAAAGCTTTTGGGAGTTATAAACAGTGGTATTTACTGCAATATGTCAGTGATCATTCTTCAGATGCATATTTTATTTAACTGGAGCTATTTTCCTAGTCAATATTGTAGCAGTTTGCAAGCAACAGTCATCTTAACTGCGAGAGGCATGTATTTGTTATTGTGACAGATAAAATTCCAGTATTCTTCTTATAGCCTTTTTCGATGCAGATGCTTGATGATTTTGTGGATGTGACAAAAGATGAGAAGCAGATTATGCATTTGTGGAATTCTTTTGTGAGGAAACAAAGGTCACTGGAATTTCATTATTTCCTTTTACTATTGATAATTCTTTATTTTTATGTGATCCTATGTTCATATAGTTTACTCTTTTACATTCTCCAGACATTTTCTCATTTGTGTACAATAATGCAATTTACTGACTCTGAGATACTTCTCATAAGAATCCCGGAGTTCTAAAGAACAGATTTTTCTTTCAGGGTGCTGGCTGATGGTCACATTCCATGGGCTTGTGAAGCATTCTCGCTATTGCATGGTCGGGATCTTGTCCGAGCTCCGGCTTTGATCTGGTAGGTTTTCCTCTTTCAGCATTAGATTTTGAAAAGGCTTAATTGTAGATATACCCGTTCTACTATAGTGGTTAGTCATTTATATCTCCCTAAGCTTTTTTTATTAGACGCAAGTTAATCTCTTTTCCCTGTTAATTGATGACGGAAGTTAATTTATAGTGACATAATTTCCATCGGACATTTTAATTTAACTTTGAGGGATAATGTCTGAAGTTCATGGAAATTAGTGCTACTAAAATAGTTTATTTGAGGTATAAGTTGACGCACCCCTATTGTACAATGCGTATATCTGCAATTAACCCTTTTCGAAAAAAGAAAGTAGGGTTACTTACATGCACTCCCAAGTATTCGCTCAGAGTTGATTCTTAATCTGTAATGCTCCAGCAGTGACATTTTTTCTTGGTTTTGACAGGTGTTGGAGGCTATTTATGGTCAAACTATGGAATCATAGTTTATTAGATGCTCGCGCAATGAACAACTGTAATATAATTCTTGGGAGATATCAAAATGAAATCTCCGATCCTAAGCAAGGCAGAGAATGAAGATTACTTACCTTCACCATCGAAGTTTGTCCTCGTGGTGGATGCAGCCTAACCACTAATCCCTTACCTCTTTGTATTTTGGGGTTGGTTGTCGGTGCCAATTTTTTTTGTTATTGAAATGTAGCGGGCTAACATTGTTTCATTTATAGCATCATTGTTTTATAATATAGAGGGTATTCGATAGGGGGAAGGTGGGGATCAATTCAGTTGGGACATCCCAGTGCAATGGGGTATCATAATCTAAAGATGACCTTGCTATATATACATTATACTAAAGTAAAGCCACTTGTTCTTTTGCTTTTTTGATACAAAAGGTACGTATTTCGTTAATATTGATAGTTCCGATACAGAGGGTCAATTAGAAGACCGTTGACATATAATTACGTTTCGTAGCAAACAGAAGCGATGAACTTTTGCGAGCCAATATTGTTAAGTTTTTTAGCGCGAAAATGGCTTGATTTTGCTTTGAGCATGAATGAGATGGCTGTGGTATATTCAATACTTGAAGATGTGACCTCTCTCCAGAGTCTTCACATTGGACTTCCATTTATTCGGCGCCCTTTGCAGGTTATCCGCTCAGATAATAGGTTTCGTTTTAGACTACAAGCACACGCGATAGATCATTTAGGTGAGCTATGATGTTCAAATGTACTGAGGCTATGTCTGCTCAATTTTGTGAATGAGAAATCAATGCTCCGAATCTCCTTCCTTCAATCTCTTCTAGGATCTCTTTTCAATTAAGCAAACAACTAGCGTATCCTTCCTATTGAAAAGTAGTTGCTTTGCATTCATGACGACAACATTTTGGTTGGTTCATCATCTTGCTTCGTAAAAACTACAGTGGTGGTTTGGTGTACGCGGGAACTGAGTAAAGTGAGTAGAATGGAACAAGATGGTTTGGTGTACGCGGGAACTGAGTAAAGTGAGTAGAATGGAACAAGAAACGTAATGGAATTAATTTGAGAATGAAATACTCATTTCTATTCCCAAGCTTTTGCAATTAGATAGTGAAGTAGGAATGGGCCAGTATTTTCGAATATACTACCTATAATTATATATAATATATTATATATATAATATATATACTATATATCATATTACTATATAATATATATATATATTATACTATATAATTAAGTACTATATATTATAGACCGATTAGAGAGAGAGAGAGTAGGGGAAGAGCGAAGAGGAGGAGAGATAGAGCAAGAAAACCCAACACACCAATCTATATATATATATTATATATAATATATATATATATATATATATATATGAGATTAATGGGTATCCTTGTCATAGGAGGCGGATTTCCTCATATGACCCTTAAAATCACATGATTGAACGACATTATGGATGATCCGCTCCATTGAACTTGATCTACATATTCTAAAACTCCAACACACAAGTTTGGGCGTGAATCCGTCGTCGTTTGACCTCCATCGAGCCATGTAAAAAAGTTCTATTCATCAAAACCTTAAAATGATACGAGTGGATAAAGGCGTCAAACGACGCACGGCGTTCACCCCAAACTTGGTGTGTTGGGGTTTTAGAATATGTAGATCAAGTTCAACGGAGCGGAATCATCCATAATGTCGCTCAATCATGTGATTTTAGATTGCGTCATAGGAGGTAATCCCCTCCTCCATGACAAGGATACCATTAATCATATATATATTATATATACCTATATAATATATATATATATATAATACGTATATATATATATATATATATATATATATATATATATATGAGATTAATGGGGTACCTTGTCATAGGCAAGGCGGATTTCCTCCTATGCACGCCTCTAAAAATCACCATGACTTGAGCCAATATTTGCTGGGAATGATCCGCCTCCGTTGAACTTGTATCTACCCATATTCTAAAACCCTAACATTACACAAGTTTTGGGGCAACTCCTCGTCGTTCTGACCCTTCATCAAACTCGCTATCAATTTTAAACGGTCTTATTGAACGAACTAGAACTTTTCACATGGCTCGATGGAAGCGTCCAAACGACTGACGCGGTTCACCCCTTAAACGTTTCGGCTTCCGCACTGTGTTGGGGTTTTAGATATGTAGATCAAGTTTCAACGCGAGCGGGATCATCCACAATATTGCTCAATCATGTAATTTTAGAGGCGCCGTCTATAGGAGAAATCCACCTCCTATGACAAGGATACCAATCTAATCTTCTCTCTCTCTCTTCTCTCTCTCTCTATATATTTTATATATATATATATATATATAATATAGTATATATATATATATATTATATATATCACTATATATATATATATATATATATTAGAGAGAGATGAGACGAGAGAGAAATATGGGTAGCTTCGCGTACCAAGCCAAAAAAGTTATTGCCTTTCGGTAGTGAGGTGTCACAATCTTCATCTCCACTCATTCAAATATGCTGATCACATTCACATGGGCTAATGAGCTGGATCGAGGATGTGACACATCCCACTTCAAGCCACAAATGTGCTTCGGTACCAAGGCATACCCCATATTCTCACATATTATATATATAATATATATATACTATATATATATATATAATATATATATATATATATAGTCATATTATATATGAGATTAATGGGTATCCTTGTCATAGGCCATAGAGGATTTCCTCTTGTCGCCTATGTGGCACATATCATCACCATCCTCATAAAGCTAGACACAATCCCCACCAACTTCGACACTCTCTCTCCTTACTGTACTGAGGATGTGCTGGATTGTGCCCACCTAACGGCAGCGAGGTAAATCCCCTCCCTATGACAAGAGATAACCCATTATATCTCTCTCTCTCTCCTCGTCTCTTCTCTCTCTATATATACTATTTATATATATATATATATTATATAATATATATATATAATATATATATATACTATATATAGGAAAATTTTAGATGTGTATCCTTGTCACGTAGCGAGGGGATTTCCTCCTTTATGACGCACTCTAAAATTCACATGAGTTGAGCGACATTTTGCGATTGATACACAGCCTCCGTTGAACTTGCACTTACATATTCTACAAAACACCCCAACACACCAAGTTTTGGCGTCAACCCGTCGTCGTTTGACCCCTTCATCCACTTCATATCAATCTTTAACAGGTTGTTATCCAATGAATAGAACTTTTCACATGGCTCGAGTGTGGGGCAGGGTTCAAACGACGACGGGTTCTACCCCACAACTGTGAGGCACCTCGTGCATCCCTGCAGTCGCAGGCCTTATGGTGGGTTTTAAAAATATCTGTAGAATCAAGTTCAACGGAGCGGATCATCCAAAATTGTCGCTCAATCACGTGTGATTTTAGAGGTCCCTGTCCTGCAGTAAATCCCCTCCTATGACAAGGATTACTCATTAATCTCATAATATATAATATATATATATATATATATATATACTATACTATATTATATATATAATCTATATATAGTATATAATATACTATATTATTATATCATATACTATATATATTATATATTATATACTATATATATATATGAAAAATGGGTATGCCTTCGCCGTACCAAGCACAAATTTTGCTGCCTTGCTACTGAGTGTGTCACATCCTCATCCACTCACCTCCCATCATGAATGTGCGTCCCATATTTGAATACGAGTGCGAGAGGATGTGACACATCACTAGCCAAGCCACAATTTTTCTGCTCTGGTACCAAGCATACCCATATTGTCTATATATATATATATATAATATATATATATAATATGTATTTTTTAGGAGATGACATTCTATATATAAAAGTGAAAAATTGATGAGAAGTGAAAATGAGATTTCTAGCTTCTAAAAACACGTCCAACTCGATTCTGAAGTGAGAATAAAATGAAATAGATCGATTTAGTGTGAGGCTATTTTCCATTCACATGTGTGGGTGAAATTAGAGAATGTAGTGGGGATGAACATCTTTAAAAGTTATATACCTTTTTAATTCGGACATAAGTGTGAATGCTCAATTCTCCCAACATCTTATTGGAAATTACTATTCTCAAATAAAGTTTGAATTAAAGAGAAGTGGCGAATAAAATTTCTATAACTTTTAGATGAGACGGTCACGTGACCGTCCGGCGCTGAAGAATAAGAAACGGGAACCGACATTTTATCTCCGCTCGTTCTCGCACAGCAGATAAGACAAGGCTCAACGTGTTTTCTCTTTTTTTTTTCCTTTCTTTGGACGGAGCTCATCGCATTCACAAAAGGCGTCACTCCTTCCTGCGTCATTCATTTACTTTTTTTTACCGGACCCTCTCGTGGTCTAAATTAAAGATTTGACGCAGCATTTCTGCGACATAAGAACAAAACTCGTAAGTACGTCGTCCGAATTAATATTATCATTCAAAGGCGGTCGGTCTCATCACCGTGTCGTAATATTTTTGAAGTGGGCCCTACGAAAACTAGATATTATCGAGGGTCGGCGTGTCTGAATTGCTCCGACTCATCCTTAATGATTGCTAAAAAGAAAGGAGATCGATAAAAGGGCACATTTTTCAGGTAGGATTAATAGTGGGCGGTTGATAACAGTGGATATGCGAGAGATTGAGAGAAAGCATATGGTCCGAAATTGGACTTCCAATATTTTTGGGGACCAGGGTTGATTTGCGCTTCCGCACGGATCTCGTCCTCAAAAATTCACACAAATTAATTAATATAATTATATAATTCCATAGTTTTCGCCATGCATAAAGTTTTTTAAGGTATATATGTAGGGCACGTACGGTCATATATTTGCACTGTTGCGAAAACGGCTGTGAAGGGTTCCGACTGGCCGGCGTCAGGTCCATTTCGAGAATCGCGCGCACTTAAATTGGAAGGGCTAAGTTAGGTAAGTCTAGTGCTCTGGTTGATTTGAAACGCTAGAATCTCAACTTTTTTTTTTTTTTTTTTGGAGATACAGTATAATTCGAGATACTGAATAGGTTTTACTTTTATTTGAAATTTAGCTTCCAACTCTGAAGAAATTATTAACATGCAATCATTAACATTAGATGACAAGCTAATATGATATTTCTTAACTGAGTTAGAGAGATTAATTTTATGTTTGTTATTTATTTAGAAGTAATTTTTTTTTTTTTTTTTTGGGAATAAGTAGTTATTGATAGAATGTTTAATGTTTTCAAGAATGAGAGTATGTAACTAATGTAAGGATGGAGGACGGAAGGATATATGCAAGTGATCAAAAGTTATAATACTACAAGACATGATTCGCTTTTCTTCATATTTTTCTTTAATCTGACTGTTCAAGTTAAGGATATTATGATCAATCATAACCACAGGGATCGATGTTACGTTAGTTAACTAACATTTGAAACTGATCTCAACTTTCTCCATCCAGCTGGCGATGAATGGGATTAAGGGGTTGTTTGGTTCATTTCCTATATATAGGGAAATACATTTCCATGTACAAAAACATAAGTTTTGAGTTTTCTAAACTTTTCCAAGAAATAGATTGTTTCGCTTTGGTTCTCACAAAAAAATGATGGGAAACCAATGTATTTATTTTTCTTGTGTTTGGTTCGCATGGAAAAAAAAAAGGAAAACTTTTGTTTATATGGCAAAAAGCTGACGTGGCTGCAGTTTTCGTCGATTTCACGAGGTTGAGGAAGGAATTGGGGGAGCGAAAAAATCTGATGTGACGGCGATTTTCACCGAGTTTCCCTTCTTCAACCCTAGCGAACCAAAGATGGGAAAAAAAACCGACGGAAAGCTTATATCCTACGTGGCTACGAAAAATCTGATGTGGAGGCGGTGTAAAACTTTTCCACCGAGTTAAAAAACGAACCAGACAACCCCTAAATTTCTATTATACATCACGAGATGCCCAACGTACGATGCGAGATTTTCCCAAATCTAACTAGCTGTTGAGGAACTCCTAAGATTGCACATATATATGTACGTAACGTATATTTAGTTTGAGAATTTTAGCTGCATGTATCACATGCAAATTAATTGCATGCACGACTCCTTGATTTCCACGTGCCTCCTTGTAGCGTGGGCCCATGCAAAGTGTACCAAGAACTAGCTAATCATTGGGGATCCACGGCGGCGTCAAACTATATACCTCGTCGCATGGGTCACATTAATCTTTTCATGCGAGGAAATTAAATTGAGCCTCATATCCTCATCCAGGCTAGGGGAAATGACTTCCAAGGTAAATAATACACTCACTCAAAAGAAACGTAACGCCCCATTCTTCCCATTCTTGTGGCATTGGGCATGTAGGCGGCGGCAGTTCTCAATCGACGACAAAGACGGGGAATAATCACGTTGCAGGCGCTAGCTATAGCTAGCTTGCTACGTACCTAACCGAATATTACGGTTGTTAGAAAAAATACGACCATCTAGCTAGCTCATCACAATTTTGAAGTTTTGATACGGTTATAAATAGATGTTTCAGACAGTAACGAAAAGCAACCTAATTAAGACTAATGAAATCTCATTGAACACATTTATGAGATTGTAGAAGGAAAATCATTGCTTTAAAAAATGATTATTTACATATCCCGGTATTCTATAATTGCATTATTATTACACGGGTCACCCCGTGAATATCTGATCCGTGCACACATATAACAGGTTTGAATCCTCTCCGCTACCAATTAAAAAGTAGTGGAGAAACCACTACAATGTCGGGCCTGTTGATTTATTGTAATTCATAAGGGAAAAGTGCAAAAAAAAAAATTTTGTGGGGTTTGGGTGGATATGATGATGAGTATTAAGTATATATGGAATGAATCATAACCACTTAGTTACCACATAAATCAAAGACTATGCTTGATATGGTAGTCTCTCTACTACTTGTTTTTTAGTAATTAAAGAGGATCCAAATCCACATATAATGCTAAAATCACTACTGATATATATATGTTACATGAGTACGTGGCCTTATTAAAAGTGATTTCAAGGTTGTTCAGGCTTACCCGTGTAATCTTAGTCACTGATCTCAAATTAAGTCATCCGTTTAGATACGTAAAACTCAGGTTAACCTATGTATTTACATCATACCACCGGGAATCGAGATGTAAATAATCTATAATAAAAAAAAAAACTTAGGCCGTCGATCCCTCAACACGTTATGGCATATTACGAAATATAAAATTGGAACGTACCCTCAATATTTTATCATAAAATATTCAAATTCTTAAATGTGACCACTTTCAACATTTTTTTTTAAAATTATCAACGTGTAGCTTGTCTTGTTCCAAATTTGGAGGAAAATGTGCTACGTTATAATAATAGAGTAATATTACTTTCACCCTTGTTAGGATTTATGGTTAGGGGAGCATTTGAAATGAAATAGGCGTGGGAAATGAGTGCACATTAATGGATAAGTTTAGAGGTGTGGGGCCCGGGTATTGTGAGTATTATTAATATTGGAGGTGCATGTTTGCGGTAGCCCTTATTTACAGGGCATGTGGGATTAATTTGCTAGTCTCTTTGGTTGCGTTGGAAGGGATTTTGTTAGGAAACTTGAAATGGATATAGCATATGGTTGAATTGAATGCCAAGTAAAAGAGCATGTGGGAAATAAAATTGGGTTCGTTTTATCATTACTAACTACTTGTCTAAATAATAAATAAGGATATTGTTAAGTTGATTAATTGTTTTATTATTGATCAAGCATTTATTTCTAAATTACATTTCTTATTATGCGAGTCATACGCTAAAGCTAAACTTTATTTAACTATATGTAAGACATTATGGGCTCAACATAGGGTCAAGTCTAGTGGCATGACGCAACTTGATTAGGCCCACATTGAAATAATGCGTCTTACCCGAATCAGGTTGTTATATATATATGCATTTATATTTGAGATCCATCCTAATTAAACCAAAGATGAATAAAAATCTCAGATTTAAAATTATACTATTAACAGTAACCTATAATATTCTTGTTACGATTTATTAGAATTAAGATAATAGCCAATAATTCAGATTCGAATTCCGTGGAATGTACATCAAAAATTAGAAAATAAAAGATGTACTGACCAACTCATGACAAGCTAACTGGAATGATTGTTGTTGAGGACTTGGCTGGTTAGGTTACTCTACCTGTCTTTTAAAAAAAAGGATGATCAAATTAATTAATCTCCGGCTCAAATCCTATTGCATTACACAAAAGATGGAAAGATAATACAACTTTGTAAATGAATCTCCAACACAAATCGTGATCATGATGAACACAAATGTGGGATCAATTACAGCACTTTATAGAGCGCTATAAATTATTAAATTTTCTCTCTATTTGGGGTTGTTTGGTTCGTGAATTGTTTTTAATGCAGGCTATGAATCCAGAGAAATTCATACTTAAAATCATGTTAATTTGTTTTTCGATAGATATTAAATTATATTTGCATAAGGGATACAATCCAATCCATATATTGTTTGCTTGCACACGTAGTTTGTTGAGGATATGTGACTAAAATCATAAATTTGAGTGAAAGATCATCATAATTTTAGGCGATCACATTTGATGCATATATGCTATGTGTCAACCTCAATTTCGACGCATGAAACGTAATAAACAAACAACGTATTTGATAATAACCTAGGATTTTAAGATTGTAGGTCGTACTTTTCAATGCAAAACCCAAAAAATACGTAGAAACAAACGGTCCCTTTCCAGTTTTTGTTTAAACTCTTCTCACATGATTAATTAAAGAGAATTCCTTCTTCATAATTCTTGAACAATTTTATTTTTTATCCAAAATCTATAAGAAGAACCAATCGATGAAGTTAAGAGCACATTGTGAGACACGAGAGTAATAAATCTCAAAAAATAGGTAATCCCTCTTTAATTAACCTGCTAACCACAAAACTTTTACAATATTAGTTACTTCATCTTAATTTTTTTTTTCCTTTTAATCTGTCTTGATAGTAAATCTCTCTTCAACCTGCCAAACACTAGAAAGAGTTTATCCCTCAAAGGGATTTGGATCCTCTCCCCTATAAAAAAAAATATAGTGAAAAAACCACTATAAAATCATAATTATTAATTTGTTTAGTGGCTAGTTGTGATTCATTCCATATCTAACATTCATTATATCCTCATGAATTGCACTATTTTCCTAATTTATGCTCAAACTCAAACCTAAGGGGCCGTTTGGTTCGTTTCCTAGATATAGGGAAATGCATTTCCATGTACAAAAACACAAGTTTTGAGTTTTCCAAATTTTTCCAAGAAATAGATTATTTCGCTTTGGTTCGCACAAAAAAATAATGGGAAACCAATGTATTTATTTTTCTTGTGTTTGGTTCGCATAAAAAAAAGAAATTTTTTTGTTTATATGGCAAAAAACCGACGTGGCTGCAGTTTTCATCGATTTCACGAGATTGTGGAAGGAATTTGGGGAGAGAAAAAAATCTGATGTGACGGCGATTTTCACCGAGTTTCCCTTCTTCAACCCTAACGAACCAAAGATGGAAAAAAAACCCGACGGAAAGCTTATATCCTACGTGTCCACGAAAAATCTGATGTGGAGGTGGTGTAAAACTTTTCCACCGAGTTAAAAAACGAACCAAACAGCCCCTAAATCACCTATTAAACAAATTAACGGTTTGTGATATTATAGTTATCTCTCTCCACTGACTGTGTAAAGAAATTACTCTTTTTTTTTATTACATCCTAGCTACTTCAATCGTCCTCCTTATGTATGTATCCTCAGCATCGTTGTCAAACTGATGGAGCCTTGATGCTCTGCTGGCTATCAAAATCAATTAGCAACTCTCCAAGCACTTGGCCACGATCCTCCCACAAAAATAATTCCGCATGCACGTGTACTGCAGGCGTCCAAATGGCAACCCCACTCTAAAAGTCCTCCCATGCCGAGCCTCATAGCTAACCACATCGATCACCCATCAAGAGCGAGCGCCATTTTCCCATAAAAGTTGTCAGCAGTTTTCAACCAACTCTACCATCATCGAATGATTGGACCCCAAATCATCGAATATCTTTTTCTCCTTCCCAAATTCTCTTGTTTCCGTACGATCCAACACGTCACCCTCCGGTAGTTTTTTTCCCAGTTGTATATATATAAGCACCAGCCCCTCCCATTTCAAGCAACTAAAGCTAACCATAGTACAAATACAGGGCTCAAGACAATGAGCCTAGCAATCAACGGTGCCCCAGTCGTCAAACCCCACAGCCCTCCTCCGTCAAATGTCATCTCGGCCCAGCCCACCTCCACCTCCCTAGACC